CTCTGCGGACTGAAAGGTCCCAGGTTCGATTCCGGTCAAGGGCATGTACCTGGGTTGCGGGCACATCCCCAGTGGGAGATGTGCAGGAGGCAGCTAGCTGATGGATGTTTCTCTCTCATCAATGTTTCTGGCTCTCTATCTCTCTCCCTTCCTCGCTGTAAAAAATCAATAAAATATGTTTTTTAAAAAAATAACTTTTTTTCCCATGTGCTGATTCTTTTAGTTTCATTGCTTTAATTAAAAATGTTTTGGCTATTAATCCGTAAAAGAACAAAGTTCATTCTGTGAACTTAAAAAGTTGAAACATAATAAAAGTGTGGGGGGGGGGGACACTTTAAAAAGGGACCTTCTTTTAACATTTATTCAGATAGTCACTTACCAATAAATAATAATATTAGTGAAAATTCTAGCTTTCCCTCAGGCAGTAAATCTGTGACCTGTGATTAAAGCTCTCTCCTTGTTAATAATTTACCCTCTTGCAAAGACACAAGATGAAACCTGAACAAGAGAATTTCAGAGAATCAAAATTGTAGGTTCTCTGATCTTTAAGAATAAGTCTTACCTTTGTTAAATCGAAAGAGATTTACAAAAGAACTATACGCTGATTTAAAAGGAGGTTCGTCCTGATCAGGAGTCAAAGGTTTAAAGTGTGTGAGATGCGAGGGACTAGTGGGAGATCGAGGCAGGTCATTGGCAGAGTCCAATGTTGGGGAAGTCTTATCATCTGTGGCCATTTCATGAGTCTAAAAAATGAAAGAAAGAAGCACAAGATATAAGGTTCCTCGGGAAGCTCAAGTGTTAATTACAGACAGCATTCCTAAATATCTGAAAATTCAGACTATGGAAAACAAAGAGTAAATAAATCACATAGCTTCGCACAAACTACAAATTAAGGCTTGAAAACTCGATGCTCTATCTAGATTCTAGATCATAGACAGGTCTCACTCACCTAAAATCATGATTATATAGCCAATCTAATGTCAACATTGCTATTCAAATTACAGAAATTATCGAAAGCATTTAAAAATTAGAACTAGGGCATAAATGTGAACAGGTAAAAAGAAATAAAATGCATTTTTATATAGTTTATCTTTTTCATTTTTAAGTTTTTTGGAGAGATATTTGATGGCTTTTTTTTTTATGTTATGGGAGGAAACCAGTTTTACACAGCATATAAATTCCTCAAAGCATTATTTGACTCACTTCAAATTTTTCTTTTAAAAAACTATAAAGGGCCAAAACCGGTTTGGCTCAGTGGATAGAGCGTCGGCCTGCGGACTCAAGGGTCCCAGGTTCGATTCCAGTCGAGGGCATGTACCTGGGTTGCAGGCACATCCCCAGTGGGATGTGCAGGAGGCAGCTGATCGATGTTTCTAACTCTCTATCCATCTCCCTTCCTCTCTGTAAAAAATCAATAAAATATATTTAAAAAAATATGATTCTCCTTATAAAAAAAAATAAAAAACTATAAAGGGTAACTATTTCCAAGAAAATGAATAGTCATCCCATAACGACACTTCAAAAAACCTCAGTCCTAGATGGTTTGGCTCAGTGGACAGAGCGACGGCCTGTGGACTAAAGGGTCCCATCAAGGGCACGTGCCCAGGTTGTGGGCTCGACCCCCAGTAGGGGGCGTGCAGGAGGCAGCCAATCAATGATTCTCTTTCATCATTGCTGTTTCTCCTGCTCCCTCTCCCTCTCCCTTCCTCTCTGAAATCAATAAAAATGTATTTTAAAAGAAAACAACTCAAAAATTACCTCAAGCTATGCCTCCACACCTTGGGACTAACCAAATCAACAAGCTGTTCCCCATCATCTTCCTCCCAGGCACTAACCAAAATTCCTAGTTAAACCAAAGCAGTACTAGTGAAGGTAACCACATCACCAGATGGAAGTTAGAGAAAAGCACCGATGTCTGTTTCCTGCCATGCTGATTAATACTTCACATAAAAGGGAAGAACCATGAACTATGCATAACTCTAGTCATTAAAGTGCTATAGTTTTGTCATCTAATTTAAACTTCACAAAGAGGACATTATACTCTTATAAAATGTTTTCACTTTCAAAATCATATTTACCATCTCATTTAGTTGTTACAAAAATCCTGAAAGGTGCACAGAACTGGCCTGATTACTGTATTTTGCCTTTGAGGGAACTGATGTACACTGAGCCTAAAACAACTTTCTTGAGAGTCACACAACTAGTCAGTGGGAGAGCTGTAACCAAAGCCCAGGTTTCAGCCAGATTACTTCTTTAGAGCAAAATGACCTGGTCTAAAGAAGTCTAAAGACACAGATTCCAAATCCAGCCATTCTGAATTCTAATCACTCAAAATGTTGCCTGATTAATAATTTATTTAATAAATTAAACAAAACAGAATTGAAACCACTGACTTGAACGGAATTTGGCAGTAAATGCTTACTGAAATGGAGGGAGGGGAAAAGGAAAGGAGGAAGAGGAAGGATCAGAGGGAGATGAGGAGGGAGAGAAGAGGGGGGAGGAGTGAGGGAAGGAACCTCTTTATCATCATCTCCTATTGGGGAGCCCAGTCAGCAATCCTTCCCAAGTGTCGTGACAATCCATATTTTCCCATAAAGGATTAGTAAAAAAGCTGGAGACTGATCAAATGTAAATTTCAAAAAACAGGGGGGTGGAAGTACCTGAAAAGAAAGAATAATGTAATGGCAATAAGCCTCAGGACTCGGAAATCAGCCTACACGCATTCTACTTTGACAAAAGTACCATCAGAAGCAGAGTTAGCAAACTGCCCAGAGTCCTAGCATTACTTTTAAGAGTCACCCACTCTTTAGTTAGCTAGAGAGGTGTGAGGATAAAAATTACCATGAAAACACTCATCAAATGTAGTATGTGAAATATAAATACAACCACATAGAGTTAATTTAAAAATTACATAATGCCATCAGGATTCTGGGGGGAAAAACACACCTACCTTACAACTCTTATTCTCTGGTAGCTTAACAACTGTCTCTGAAATAAACTAGGACTCTTTCCTGACTGATCGGTAATTAAAAGTATTAACCTATTCATCCATGTTTCACCGGTACTTGCTTTGCCTCTTCTCATAGGAAGGCTGCTATTGATTATTTGCAGACCCGATTCACACTCTCTTGTTGCTTAAGCCAGCCTGAAGGGCTAATCAGGTATTAAAATGTAGAAAATAAACCCAATCTGCCAGCCAATATCAAAATTTCTGCACATAAAAAAGATCCAAATATCAGTCGTCATTTCTAAGTATTTTTTAAATTTTTAAAAAATTGATTAGAGAGAGAGAGAGATTTGTTGTTCCACTTATTTATGCTTTCATTGGTTGATTCTTGTATGTGCCCTGACCAGGGATGGAACCCGAAACCTTGGTGTATCAGGACAACGCTCTAACCAACTGAGCAATTCGGACAGGGCTTCTAAGTAGTTTTTTCAAAACATATCTAATAATGTAAGACAGCTGAATATCAGAAATGTTAGTCTTCATTAACAAAGGTTTTTTTGTTGTTGTTCAACTTTTGATCGCCAGGCCAACAGAAACACTAAAGGAAACAC